TCCTGCCTCCTCCTCTGGAGTAGCTGGGACTACAGGCCTGCGCCACTAAACCCACTAATTTTTGTATTTTTAATAGAAATGGGGTTTCACCCTGTTGGCTGTGATGAATCACTCCTGGCCTCAAGCGATCCACCCACCTTGGCCTCCCAAAGTGCTGGGGTTACAGGCATGAGCCACTGTGCCTGCTCCAGTTTTGTTTTTAATATGGTAAATATTGACAGATATAGTGCACATTTTTTAAGTTTTAATAATTTTTAGGAATTTAAAGGGGCCCTAGGACCAAAAATTTGAGAATTGTTGCTTTAGAATTTTTTTTAAGTGTCTGCTGGTGGCAAATTCTTAGCTTTTGCCTGCTTGTAAATGTCGTTGTTTCATCTTTATTCCTTAAAGATGTTTTCAGAGACACAATTTATTTTTCTTTAGCACATTGAAGATGTTACTCCACTGTCTTCTAGATTTCATCATTGCTAATTAAGAAGTCAGCAGTCACCTGTTTCTTCTTTGAGAGGAATTGTTCTTTTTTCCCTCTGGCTGCCTTTCAGATGTTTCCTCTCTCTCTGTGATATTTTATAGCTTCCCTTTGATGTGCCTAGATATAGATTTGTTTTTATTTATCTTGCCTGGGGTTTGTTGGGCTTCATAAATCTGTGGATTGGTATCTTTCATCAGTTCTGTAAAAGTCTCAGGTACTCCTTGTTAACATTTGTCTCTGCTCCATTTTTCTTCTAGAATTATGATCAAACATGCACTAATTAGACCTTTTATTGTATTCTCTTTGCTTCTCAGGCTATGCTCCGAAAATTTACTTTGTTCTAATACTCAGTTTATAGTTCTGTCTTAAGTTGTTTCCAATCTGTTTTTAAATCACTCCATTGAATTTTAAATCTCAGTTAATGTATTTTTTAGTTTGTAGAAAGTCTGTTTGGTTCTTTTCAAATCCACTAGATCTGTGACTTCCTACCACCTATATTTCCAGCCTTTGCCTTTTATTATTTTTTAATGCTGTAAGCAAAGTTGTTTTATAGTTGATAATTCTTGTATCTGTGGTCTTTGTCCCTTCATACTAGCTGTTATGTCGTAACAGTTTTCCCTGATCCCACCTTACTTCCTCATAGGTTTGATTATCTTTCATTATGTGCCACTTATTTTTTTTTAAAGATAATTATCTGTATTAATATGAGACCTAGATTTTAAGATATTTCCCCTCGGGATTATGCTGTGTGCCTGGGCACATTGCAAGTCCCAATTGCTGTAAATGTAAAGTATCCTAGAACACCAGAGGTGAAAATTCATGACATTCTCATTCATCTTTACCTTATGGGCATAGCTGATTGGGAATCCATAGCATCGGGAGGAAGTTCTATTAGACCTTCCACTTTGGGCAGATCCTGGGCTTCGACATTGGTTCTGTTCATCATAACCAAAGATCACACTTGCCTAACGCGTAAATGCCCTTGGGGTAAAGCATCTGTGTTCTGCTTACCTCTCAGGGTTCCTGCTTTTTCCTTTAGCTTTGGTTCCATCACTTGTGTATTAAACCATTATGGGAAACTGCCTCCAGAAATAGCGTTTTAAAATTTTAGTCTAGCCATAAAAATAGAGAATGCTTACTCTCTGGATATAAATGCCATAGCAATAACTTTGAACTCCTACATTACATGCCTTTTATGTAAGGCAAACCTCAGTACACATTGAGAGACAGTGTCATATACTTATTAAGATCACAGGCTCTGCCGGGTGCAGTGGCTCACGCCTGTAATCCCAGCACTTTCAGAGGCCGAGGCGGGCAGATCACGGGGTCAGGAGATCGAGACCATCCTAGCTAACACGGTGAAACCCTGTCTCTACTAAAAATACAAAAAAAATTAGCCAGGCGCAGTGGTGGGCACCTGTAGTCCCAGCTACTCAGGAGGCTGAGGCAGGAGAACCTGGGAGGCGGAGTTTGCAGTGAGCCGAGATCGTGCCACAGCACTCCAGCCTGGGCGACAGAGCGAGACTCTGTCTCAAAAAAAAAAAAAAAAAAAAAAAAGATCACAGGCTCTAAAATCAGACTGCTTTGTTTAAATCCTGGCCCTGCCATGTAGCAGTACCCTGTGTTAATTTATGCAAGATGCTTAATCTGTCTGTGCCTTGGTTTCTTCATTTAAAAAAGCAGAATAATAGCTTGCCTCATGTGGTCATTATGAAAAACAAATGAGGCCGGGCACCGTGGCTCATGCCTGTAATGTCAACACTTTGGGAGGCTACGGCAAGCAGATCACCTGAGGTTGGGAGTTCGAGACCAGCCTGGCCAACATGGAGAAACCCCGTCTGTACTGAAAAAAAAAAAAAAATAATACACACACACACAAAAATTAGCTGGGTGTGGTGGCACATGCCTGTAATCCCAGCTACTCGGGAGGCTGAGGCAGGAGAATCACTTGAACCCAGGAGGGAGGTTGCAGTGAGCCAAGATCGCACCATTACACTCCAGCCTGGGCAACAAGAGCAAAACTCCATCTTAAAAAAAAAAAAAAAAAGCGAGATAAGGCAAGGCAAGTAAACATTTAGCATAGCGCCTGGCCCACAATTGGCTTTCACGTGCTTAGGACAGTCAGACCTATAGTAAGTGCTCAATAAATAGTCACTAATTATTATGTTAAGCATTTATCAAGTGTCTGCTGCACCAACAAGTGTGTGTTAAATTCTCTTGATCTTTGGCTGTATCCAGGTTAGGAAGATGATCACTCTTGCAGGAAACAAATGGAGAACAATTAGACAGCAGTAATGAAGTTATTTGCTGAAATAATGGTGAAGTTTTTCAAGTAACTTAATGTTTTATAAATTTATGATCAGAATAGCAAAGAGTCAGTGCCTTTTGGTGAAAGTGGTTTCTAAACTAGGACTATGAGGAAGTGAAACTGTGCAGGCTGGCAGCAGTGAGGCCGGAGGCTGTTGTGAACAACAGCCGTGAACATGACACGGGGCCGACACTTCCCATCTGGATGCAGTTTTTAAAGTGTTTCTCCATATTGAGGTTCTCACTACAACCCTCTGAGGCCACTGCATTTCTTTTCACTTTGTTGATGAGAAAAACAAGGCCTCAAGAATTGTGTGGAATAGTAGAAAGAGACAGGCTGGGACAGTCCGCAGGCTGGCGATTCCTGGTGAGGTGAGGATGGCCATATTGCATGGCCCAGAAACTTTATTGATAACTAGAGTGTGACATTGTGTGTATAAAAGTTAAAAGACAGCAAACACTAATGCGGTATGTATTGTTTATGGACACCTACAAAGGCAGGAGAGGTACAGAGAAAAAAAAACAAAGTACCAAGAACAATAAACAAAACCCTACCTGCTTTAGGGCAGCGGTTGCTCTGGGGCAGGGAAGGAAGTTCATCTGAAATAAATATGGCAAAGCTAACATATTTTATCTCTGATTATTACCTAGGCATCTGATATATTGTTTTCTCTGTGTGTAAAATGATATATATATATATTTATAATGTATATATGATACTTTTTTTTTAAATAAAGAAGCTTAAAAAAAAGCAAACTTTGGAATCAAGTAGACCTTGGTTCAAAAGCTGCCACCCATTTACTCAAATTCCTTTCTCTCGCTGATCTTCAGTTTCCTCATCTACAAAATGGAGTAATCATTACTTCTTTGATGTTCTCATGAGGACTGGATGAGATGATATTTGTAAAGTGCCTAGTATAACCTCTAACTTCTTATAGGTAGGTCCTCAATAAGTCACGCTTTTTATAGTAAATGAATAATCCAAGGCCACAGGTCTAGTCCCTGGCGGCTGCAGAATTTGAACGCAGATTTCCTGACCCCAAGTCCAGAGCTGCTTCCACTGAGTTGTATGAAGAGGACGCTGTTAGTGGAGGAGCAGGGTCACAGCACCACAGCTCTAGCGACCCGGGGCAGCGTCACCAGGACAGAAGCTGCCGCTGCATTACCTCCTCCTCACCTGTGCAGCCCCTCTGGGAACAATCTTCTGTTTTGTGTTTTGCTTTGTTTTGTTTTGTTTTGTTTTGTTTTGTTTTTGAGATGCAGTCATACTCTGTAGCCCAGGCTAGAGTGCAGTGGCGAGATCTCGGCTCACTGCAACCTCCGCCTCCTGGGTTCAAGCGATTCTCTGCCTCAGCCTCCCGAGTAGCTGGAATTACAGGTGCGCGCCACTGCACCCGGCTAATTTTTTGTATTTTTTAGTAGAGACGGTGTTTCACCATGTTGGCCAGACTGGTCTTGAACTCTCGACCTCAGGAATCCACCCACCTCGGCCTCCCAAAGTGCTAGAATTACAAGCATGAGCCACCTCGCCCAGCCTGAACAGTCAGTCTTTAAAACCTGGCAATCAAAGCCAAATCCAGAAGTGAGAAAGTCTTCACAGTTTTATTGACAATGGCATAGAGCGTATTAAGAAGAAACATTGGAACTGAGAAGAGATAAATAGAAACTTCTTTTTTTTTTTTTTTTTTTTAGCTGCTCTGTCCAGCAGCTTAGGCCAGGTTAGGTTTATAGTCATTAACAACCCAAAAATCTCAAGGACTTCCAACAGCAAATGTGTCTTTCTTGCCCATCTCCGGTGTGGGACACAGGCTGCTCCAGGTCCGCTCCAGCTGGAGCCAGAGTGGAAGGAGCGGCGCCTGTCTGGGCCCCTGGAGGACTGAGGAGAGGTGGGGGTGGGCAGCTCCCCCTGTGAAGCTGTCAGAGCTTCTGCCTCAGCACGGGAACAGGCAATTGAAGTCACACTGCCTGTGCATGTGTGTTGGTTACTAGAAATTTCTAGATATCTGGCCACTGAGGGGAAGTTTGGGAAAATGAAAAATTCGTCTGAGTAAGTGGAGAGGCCACTTGATGTAGGGCCTCAAACTCAGTTCTTGAGCCGCTTCTGGACGTTGAAATATGTCGCTACTGGAAGCAAAGCTATTTTGCAATCATGTTTTTAAGCACGAGTTGGGTTCGATGATGATCCTGTTTTGACTTTTACCTTTCCCTCTTTTGTTGACAGTGTTATCAGCAAGGTGGTCCCTGCGCCCGAGGCCAAGCCGGCGCCCTCGCAGAACAGGCCGAAGAC